GAACATAATGCTGTTAAAGCAGCAACACGAATATGATGACTCTAAAACAAAGAAATAATTTATATTGATTCTCAAGTACAGTCCGTCGGGTCCAAAATTTTTAGATCTGGACTCGGAACATTTTTCATACCCGATCTATACTCATAATATTATCGATAAAATTTTTCCATCCAAAGTTGATAGTCACTCTGAAGATACGAGATACTTTGTTCGATTATTTAAATGCATCGATTAGCATGTCCTATACATTGCTCTAGAAATTTTGATAGTGATCACATAAGAATAAAGTTCTAGTTAGCTATTACTTTCAAAGTAGCAACTGTCAAGTCAGACCCTCATCTAGTCGGTAGAAAATTTCCAGATCCAACCCTGGTCCACAGGAAATTTTCAGACCCGAACCTGAATTCTACCTGACCGGCTCTATTCTCAACCCATATTATACGGAGTGTCTGAAAAGTATTTTCATATATCTTTACTATTTGATTTTCCTTGTATCAACAAATTTATTTTTAAACCATAGCTGAATACATCAAGCTTTTATTTTTACGAGCAAACTTCGACAGTTTCTTCAAATCGCAACTCTAAACATCTAGGGAATTATTGTTTTTAATCTCAAATTTTTTGGATTGTTGAATATGTATCTTTAATTTCTGTTAAAGATAAGATAGAAGAATTAGTTTGTTTTCAAAAATTACTTCGACTTTTAATAAATCATCTATTTGATGAAAATGTGTTTGAATAATATGTGGATCAAGTCGAGCCATATCAATAATAAATGTTGCCATTGTTTTAGCAGATGCATTATGAACTTGTGTATCAACAAAATTAGTTTGACAAATTTCTCTAAATGAATACTTTTATTTTTAAAGAAAATCAATATTAAATAAATAAAACAAACTTTAATAATTGAATAGCTAATGATGTATCTTGATAATCAAGTAAAAGTGAATTAAGAACAGTTGTAAGTAAACTTGAATTATTATCATAATGTTTAACTGCTTGAATAAATTGAATAGACGCTTCTAAAATCAAAAGTAATCTTATTTAATTTATTTTTATTTAAATTAACCTGGTGCATGTTCAAATTCATGAATCATAATAATAAAAATTAATGGAAGATTTTCTTTAACAATTGGATTTTTTGAAATATCTTCTCGACAAAGTAAATGATAACATGGTTTTGTTACACATCTTTTAAAGAAAATTTTTATGATTAAATATATAAAAATGAAATAATTATTTACTTGACAAATTGTTGATCAATAATTGATGAATCCCATAAGGATTTAATAGATGATCGAAGAATATCACAAAGACCTTTTAAACATTTATCTCTTAATGAATCCGATGTTAAACTTGATTTTCCATTAGTTTTCGATTCTTTAGCTTTTTTGCTACTCTATAATAAATAAGTAAAATTATTTTCATAAAAAAATTTCATTAATAAATTATACTTTCGATGGAGGCATATAAAAA